AGAGAGCTGTTCTTTTTTAATGATCATCAGCAGCTAGCGTTAATTTTAGGTACGTTGCTGGAGCTATAATTTTTTCAGTCTTTTGACTTGAATTTGGTAGTGGATTGATAAATTGCAATTGTCAACTCGCATCAATCACAACTGCAATTTCCTGCGCTAAGCGGTATGTTATTTGCTTCTTCAATTGAGACTTCGACACTAGAGAGTCCCAATTTATGAATAGAGTTTTGTGTTCAGGGGCGAAACCAGGAAATTAGTTGAGATGGGGCAAAAGACATGACATATTGGGTTCACAACCAATACCGAACCGATAACATTTCGGTAACCGGTTCTTAGTTATCGTTACACATAAGTCGGTTCGGTTCGGTTTATTTTCTCATCGGTTAGGTTCGGTTCTCAGTTTTTAGGGCAATAAAAGAGAATTGAAGTCTTTTTATCTGGCCAATTTAATGATAATAATTAATATACAAAATTAATAGTAAAATAAATGAAGTGTTGAATTGTTAATTGACAATTGCGGACAAATTAGTCTGATGAATAACGTTTAAAAACAAAAAATGTGGGGGTGCAAAAATAAATTTAATAGGGGGCAAATTAAAATTTTTAATATTAACAATATAAGAAACTAAAATTTAAGGGGGGCAATTGCCCCCCTACTAATGAATGTAAATTCGCCACTGTAATTGTGTTAACAACTTTCAACCAAATATTCTTGTATAACTGAACAAACAATATCTTAGTTGATACATATACTAGCATGTGAATCGTGGGGTGGTATAGCAATAGATAGGTTTGATCGTGGGGCGGTATTAGCATGTGAATCATGCGGTGGTATAGCAAGTGCACTATGCTCACGTTTTAGTGCCAACAACATAATAAAATTGCGGTATAATTAGCTTTGCCCACAGCCACAAGTCAAAAGGATACAAATTTCTCTACGGTTGGTTGAGAAAAATGAATGGAAGGTGTAGGATTTGCCATGTGGCAGTGGTGAATTTATTTATTTATTTATTCAATTTTTATATTGGAAAAGTGGAATAATGTACTAAATGTGCGTTTGGTTGGAATAAAGCATGAGGGTTGATTAAATTTCTCACTACTCACTAGTACCTTAGCATGAGACTCGAAAAAACCTGAATCGTACTAAAAATCGAACCAAGAGTGGCCTGAAAATAAACGTTGACCGTTAACTTTCTCTGAACAAAACCGAAAAAAATAATTAGTATGGTTCTAGATTTCACAAATATCCATTCTGAGAACCGAATTGAACCCTCTCATAATGTACTGATTAAGAACCGAATTATAACATTAGATGTGTGTGATTGATATATTTTGTGTCAACTATGATCTTATATAATTTGAGAATTTTTAAAATGCAAGTAAAATATAGTGATAACAATTAAACTTCACTTAAATTTCATGCTTAGTAACAATTGATCTACAATTGAATTTTTCTTGTTATAAAAAAATTATTTAAAATTGTGTGAAAGATTAAATAAATTTTTAAGATAAAACTATATTATATTGTGTTTGAATTTTAAATTCTCAATATTAGTTGCACAATATTTAGTCTTAAGTATAATATAGAGTTACTTTTGAATTTGATTTCAAAATAAAATCTTCAATATGAAGAAGTATTGATTAATGTTGTTTTTTTTAAAGCATATAAAAATTAAATAACTAATATTAAGAGTAAAGTTGATTTCAAACTAAAATCATCAATATTTCAATCTTCAATATGGCGAAATATTGATGATTTTTCTTAATGCAAATAAAAATTAAAATATAACTAAGTAATCATTCAAAATTTTTTAAAAAATATAAGAATTTTCCGAAGATCAGAACCAAACCATACCAAATCGAACTGTTTCGATAGCCCCAAATATCGAACTGGAATTGGAAAATAATAATATCCGAATCGAACCATCTCAATTTTATTTGTACATTTTTAGAGATCGAATTTAGTGATCTCCGAATTTTGGTATGGTTTTGGAGATTTCTCAATCTTCGAACCATACCGACCCATGTTCATCCCTAACTAGTACGCAGTCCATGCGATGCACAGGACAGTGATATAGTCATTTCCATTGAGCTTGTCCGTTAAGTAGCTCGTGCGATGCACGGGACAACGATATTAAATGAATCGTTTCCATAGGGCTTGCCCGTTAAAGCCTAAAAAATAATAGAGTTAGATCATCTATTTTTCACATTTTTTCATCATCGTCATTTTTTTTTGAGAAAATTACTATCCACAACATTCCACAACATTTAGAGCACGTTTGTTAGGGGTGTCAAGACAAGATTACACCCCTTATCATGAGCAAAAGTTGCGTTTGTTCAGGGCGATTATGGCCCGCGATACAATCTGCGGCCCGAGACAAAAAAGGAGGTAATCTCGATTTCCGGAGATAAAGTGGTCTGGAGGGGGTACCCAAGATTGGAAGAATCATCACAGTAATCTTCATTTTTTGTGAATTTTCTCGTCCTGCCTGTGGTTGTTCTTCATGGCGGTTTTATTTTGTTTTTTAATTTCAGCTACTTTTTTATGAATTAGTTATTTGTGCTAACATTCAAAAGTAAATAAAAAATTAAGATAGATACAAAAGTATAATAATTTTTTAGTTTTCACATGCCCAGTTCAAAGGAATTAAACCAGTTATTTCATGACGAAGAGTTTAACCAAATCAAAGCAGTTAAATCTTCTTTTTTTTTTCGAAGAAATATGCCATCTTCAAAGAGTCCAAATCAAGGCATGTGACGAAGCTTATTTTCTTCAACCAAATCATCACCTCTACATGGTACTTTTTTTTTAATGGACTTCCTCTAGTTTATTTTAATCAGTTGATTATTGAAATGAAATAAGATTGAGTTTTGCGTGTTTTACGAGAGAGTATCTCGTTTACTCGTTTATCTTTCCCACTCGTACGCTTTCCCTACATCACTTTCTTTGAACCAAACCGAATCGAAAAAATAAATGGTACGGTTTTAGAGATTTCACAAATATCCGTACCGAGAACCAAACCGAACCGTCCCTTACCATACCGAACCGAAGAGCCGAAACTAAGAACCGAATTGTAACATTAGATTTGTGTTATTAATATATTTTATGTCTACTTTGATCCTATATGATTTGAGAATTTTTAAAATGCAAATAAAATATAGTAATAACAATTAAGTTTCACTTAAATTCATGCTTAGTAATACTTCATCTACAATTGAATTTTTCATGTTATATAAATTTATTTAAATGGAATGAAAGGTAAAAGAATATTGTTATAAGAAAAAACTATATTATGTGTTGTTTAATTTTAAATTTTCAATATTAGTTGCACAAATTTAATCTTAACTAAATTTTGAGTCACTTCTAAAGTTGATTTCAAAATAAAATCTTTAGAGTCAATTCTAAAGTTGATTTTAAAAAAATCTTTAATATGAGGAAGTATATTGATGAATGTTGGTTTTTTTAATGCATATACAAATTAAATAACTAAAATTTAGAGTTACTTCTAAAGTTGATTTCAAAATAAAATCTTCAATATGATGAAAATTGATGAATGTTGTTTTTTTTAAAGCATATAAAATTAAAATATAACTAGGTATTCATTTAGTTAAAGTTTAAAAAATAAAAAATCTCCGAAAATCCGAACCTAACTGTTTCAATAGTCCCGAATATCGAACCGAACCAAACCGAAAAATAAAAATCTCCGTACCGAACTGTCTTAATTTTTTAATACGGTTTTGGAGATCGAATTTGATGATCTTCGAATTTTGGTACGGTTGAGCCGTACCGGCCCATGCCCACCCATTAGAGATCGAATTTGAACTATGTCATGGGATGTTTAATTGTGAACCAAACAATGTAAACTTTATTAGAAACAAGTGGATTTACCACTATTAAGATTATCTTTTATTATTATAACATGTATTGAAATGTGTGCCAAAGCCTTGAAATTTAGCTATAAAAGGGCCACAATTTGTTGTAAGATTTTGTACGAAAAATAAGAAGAAAGAAAGAACAGTTTGAGTTATATCCGGTTTTTACATTGTGTTCTTTATATTGCTCGCATTTTATAACAAACTTAATGATTTATAAACAAAAAGCAAGCCTCGAGACAGTATGGCTCAAAGAAGATTCATTGTTATTTTGCATATCTCCTCTTCACCAATCATAAAAGGATACTATTTTATTTTCCTCATGAGCATCCAATTTTTTTGGTAGGAGAAAACAATGATTCAAAATATTACATTATCTATTAATGAATGGTGAATCAATTTATTATATCCCAGTCCAAAACAATTATTCTATTAAATAATTAAAATAATATTCGAACAACCATCATAAAATTAAAATTTTATATGGACCCTTTTAATTAATTAATATAATATGGTTTATGGGGACAAGATAATAACCTGGATAGACCAAATTTATTTAATTTAGGGAATAAACATATCCAGATTGGTGTTACTATTTTGAGCACACAAATTATTTCTCAAAAATATTTTATATCGACCCACAGCAAATTAAATAATAAAGAGGGTGGTTATGGCAAGGCAAATACTTAGGTGTACATTTCTTCTACAGGCGCGTGAGAGAAGTAAGGAGGTAAGTGTTTTTTTAAATGGGACATGTGTCCCATTTTTATTGGGTAACGAATTTCATTTATGATATTATATAAATTAAATTATCATTCATATTTTGTATCAAAAAATAAAAATGAAAATACCAAAATTCATAATTTTTCATTCTCTACAAATAGAGACCACATTTGATATTTTTTTGGAACACAATTAATTTATCATTTCTTACAATTAATTTATCTTATTAGAAGATTATGACGCAAATCTATAATTAGATGAATATGTTACATAGTAAAATGAACATGTTATAGAGTAAGATGAACATGTCATAGAATAAGATGAAAATGTTACATTTTCACAAATTAAATTTAGATGAACATGTTCTAAAGTAAGATGAACGTGTTACATAATAAAATAACATGTTATAGAATAAGATGAACATGTTACATAATATAATGAACATGTTATAGAATAAGATGAACATGTTACATGCACAATAAGGTGAACATGTTACATAAATAAAATGAACATGTTATATAATAACATGAACATGTTACATAATAAAATGAACATGTTATATAATAAGATGAACATGTTATAGAATAAGATGAACATGTTACATAATAAAATGAACATGTTATATAATAAGATGAACATGTTACATACACAATAAGGTGAACATGTTACGTAATAAAATGAACATATTAAATAATAAGATGAACATGTTACATGATTAAATGAACATGTTATAGAATAAGATGAAACATGTTACATACACAATAAAGTGAACATGTGATAAAATAAGATGAATATGTATTGTTTCAATCTACAATCTGTAACATGTTCATCATATTTGAAAACATATTCATTTTATTATGTAACATGTTCATTATATGTCAGTATAATAAAATAATTACGAAAAATTATGAAAAAACGAAAAATTAGTTGTGTTCAAAAACCTATCAAATGTGGTCTCTATTTATAGATAATGAAAAATTATGAATTTTGGTATTTTTATTTTATTTTTTTAATATAAATAATTAATGATATTTTAATTTATGTAATATGTCCCATTTTTTAATTAAAAAAAAAATTAGAGATGTGAACTACACTCTCCAAATTTCTCTAGTATTGAGTAGTTTTGGAGAGTAAAAGGGCGCGTGCAAATGTGCGTGCCAGGGCACACGGTAGTGGTACTGTTATGGCAAAGTCAAATTTCTGCTCATCCGTAAAAGTGGTCCTGAGTTTAGTGGGGCCGGGCCTTGCTAACTAACTAGGTGGTTTATAACAGTTGTGTGGCCACGTTTATATATAAGCTAAAAGCAATTGTCACATCTAACTAAGGTACACATTTATGTGGCCAGCAAATTCTCACACATATACACCATGTGTAGATGAAGGAAATTATCTCACGTATCTGCCAATTTTTATAAATAGTCATTCTGCTTTGCACACACATCAGTTCATATAATCTTCAATACCATATTTTTGACACAAGTAGTAGTTGTTCATTAATAATAATTACTAGGTGGCTACAAAAGTATATTAATTACTACAGCTGTTAATTGACAATGATGATTTGGGCAGCCGTATTGGTAATTGTTGTTATGGTGATTCTGAAACAGATCACCAGATTGAGTATGATGGTGGATTATTGTACGAAGAAGAAGAAGAAGAAGAAGAAGTGCCCACCAGGCCCACTGGGGCTTCCCCTGCTGGGCAACTTGCTCCAGATCGACAAAGCCAGGCCTCAGGTATACCTACAGAGGCTGGCCCACAAATACGGGCCTCTCGTCTCGTTGAGGCTGGGCCGGGCTCGTATCCTGGTGGTGTCATCCTCACGCATGGCAGAGCAGATCCTGAAGACCCACGACCGCTCCTTCTGCAGCCGGCCTGCGGTGGTGGGCCAGCAGAGGCTCTCGTACGGCGGCCTCGACATGGCCTTCTCCCCTTACAACCATCACTGGCGGCGGATGAGGAAAATGTGCGTCCTCCATCTCTTTTCTGCCAAACGGGTTTTGTCCTTTCGGGCCGTACGTGAGGATGAGGTCAGGCGCATGATAACCAAGATCAGTACTCTTAGTAACAGCAAGAGCCAGCTGGCTGTCAACTTGAGCACCATGGCCATGTCATTGGCCAGCAACCTGATTTGCAGAGTAGCTTTCGGGAGAAGGTATGATGATGATGAGTACGAAAAGATAAGGTTCGACAGGCTCATCATTGAGGCCCAGGCCTTGATGGTGAGCTTCTACTTCAAGGATCATTTTCCTGCACCTTTTGGTGTTTGGGCCGACAAGGCGTCTGGATTGATGGGGAGACTGGACAAGAACTGCCAAGAGTTGGATGCGTTTTACGAGCAGCTCATCAACGAGCATCTCGACCCCAACAGGCCCAACCCAGAAACAGATCCCGACATTATTGATCTCCTCATCCAACTCAAACAAAACCAAGGGGAGTCGACCGATTTATCTTGGGACAAAATCAAAGCATTACTCATGGTAACGTAATATTTACTAGCAGCTAATATTTGAATTGAATAAATACCATATTATATTATTAATTATGTTTCGATTCATGTACATGTTTCAGAATCTATTCGTTGCGGGAACTGATACAGCGGCAGCAGTAATAGTTTGGACAATGACAGGTCTCATGCAACGGCCCAAAATGATGAAGAAAGTACAAGCACATATCAGGCAAACCATGGGCAGCAATAAAGGATTTGTCCACGAGGATGACATCATGAAGCTACCGTACCTAAAGGCGGTGGTGCTGGAGGCTCTCAGGCTGTACCCACCGGCCCCGCTAATATTCCGAACCCAAATATTGCCAAACGAATGCACGGTTATCGATGGGTATGAAATCGAGCCTGGAACGTCGGTTTATATCAACGCGTGGGCCATGGGTAGGGACACGGAGACCTGGGAGGACCCGGAGGAATTCCGGCCCGAAAGATTCATGAGTGGCAGTAATGATAATACTAATATGGTACTGATCAAAGGTTGCCGAGACTTGGACTTTGAGATGATACCATTTGGCGGAGGGAGGAGAGGGTGTCCTGGGATGGAAATGGGTCTAATATCAGTCGAGCTGGCACTCGCCAATCTGCTATACTCGTTCGATTGGGCATTGCCACATCATCATAGCACGATCGACACTGATGCATTGCCGGGCCTCACCATGCATAAGAAAAGCCCACTCCTTCTAGTCCCCACCCTCTATATGTAATTAACATGACCTACAACACTACACACTTTGTCCACTAAGTTAATTATTATTAGTATACTTTTTTTTTTTTTTTGGGTACAATGGACGAAGGCCAGAGCCTTAAAATATTAAGCGAGAACACGACGGGGTAAAAAACCCCGCAAGATCATGTTGAATCCATGCTCCCAAGCCAGGGGGAGACGAAAGCCGGTGTAACCCGACCGATGAGGATGCCGCTAAGCCCGCCAAATGATCCACCACAAAATTAGCTTCCCTATGAACATGTTGGATTAGTATACATTTAAAAGAATATTTGTGATCTTGAGTCTTCATGAATCATAACTTGGATCCAATGCCAAGAAATATATGTTTAACTTGAATTTGTAGGGAAAAATTGCACTATTCGTCCACTAACTATACCTTCGTTGCACTTTCGTCCTTTAATTGTTTTTGATTTATAATTGGTACACTAATTTTAGTTTTTTGGTAATTTTAGTCCAAAATGACATTCCGGTGCTCATTTTCGCCGGAATAGTTGATGTGGCACCCAGTCAGATCGGAATTTCCATTATCGGCGTGATGTGGCACGAAGTGGCGCCTAGTCAGATCTAAAAAATTGCACTATTCGTCCACTAACTTTACATTCGTTGCACTTCCGTCCTTTAATTGTTTCCGATTTACAAACTCAGAAAAAAATATTCAAAAAAATCGAAAGAGATAGAAAAGCTTTAAAAAGAAAAACAAAAAATCAAAAGAAAAAGAAAAAAAAAATATATAATATTTTTAGTTAATAAAAATTATTTTTTTATTTAATAAAAAATAAAATATTTAATGATTAAATAAAAACAAAATATTTAATAAACGCGAAGTAAATTTATAACGAGTGATAAATATTTTTTATTTAATGATTAAGTATTTAATAAAGAAAACGAAATATTTAATAAAAACGAAAAGCATTTTTTTATTAAATATTTCCTTTTCAATTAAATATTTAACCATCTAATAGAAAATATTTATAACTCATGAAATATTTATTTCGTTTTATATTTCTTTTTTTATTAAATATTTATTTTTTATTTAAGCATTAAATATTTTGTTTTTTATTTAAATAAAAAAGTATTTTTTCATTAAACAAAAAAATTAATATTTCATTTTTTATTAAATATTTAACCATTAAATAAAAAATATTTATTCCTCATTAAATATTATTTTGTTTTTTCATTTAGTTTTTTAGTGATTATTTCGTTTTAAATTAAATAAAAAATGTATTTTAATTAGTAGACAAAAAAAATATTTTTTTTATTTTGTTTAAAATCATTAAACAAATGATTTATTAATTAATAATCTTTTTTATTTTGTTAATTCTTTTATCCACATGTCTTCACATATGAAATTTAAAGCTTTTTTTTTCTTTTGATTTTCTTAATTTTTTTTCTTCAGATTTTATAAACCGGAAACAATTAAAGGACGAAAGTGCAACAAATGTAAAGTTAGTTGGCGAATAGTGCAATTTTTTTGATCTGACTAGGCGCCACCTCGTGCCACATCACGCCGAGAATGGAAATTCCGATCTGACTGGAAGCCACATCAGCTATTCCGGCGAAAATGAGCACCGAAATGTCATTTTGGACTAAAATTACCAAATAAAAAAAGTTAGTGTACCAATTGTAAACCGGAAACAATTAAATGACGAAAGCGCAACGAGGGAGTAGTTAGTGGACGAATAGTGCAATTTTTCCAATTTGTAGTGAACTCTACGGATCACAAGGTGTGCCAAAAGATTTAAATGCCTAAATTACAAAGTTACGGCAGGCAGATCAATCTATATCTATATTTATATCTATATCTATATCTGTATCACCAATCTATTTTTTCCTAAAATTAGTTAAATTTTTCCCGCCTAAATTTTTTCGGATAATTTTGGCAATAGTTGTTAAGTCATTTTATAATGACTAGTAAATACCCCGTGCGATGCACGTGATACATATAATAAATCAATTATTTCTATAGGACTTGTACGTCTAGACAAAAAAAAAAAAACAATAGACTTGGATCATCCATATTTCACATCTTTTAATAAGTGGCTTTATTTAAGCCAAGAAATTAACATGTTAATTAATATATAATTCCGCTAACACGTCATACTAATATTTATTTGATTTTAGAATACATATTTATTCATTGATATAAAAAAATAAAAATTTTATTTATTCTTGTTCACCATATAATACTCAATTATTATTTTATTATAAAATTTATAGTCATGTAATGTCATTATTATTATTTATAAAAGTTATAGAAGTAGTTTTCTTTATGTAATGAAATTCAAAATAAAATTTTGAGTATAAATGTTTACAAAATACACACACATGTTTTTTAGAATTCAATTTTCTTATAATATTTTTTTTTTAAAAAATAATTTAGCAATTGCCAAAAAATAAATCCTTACATAATCAAGAGATATTTTTTCTAATTTTCATCCTAATGCTTTATAGTTTATTTAACATACTATGCAATAGAAAAATATTTTACAATAAGTTCATTTTTCAAACATAACAAAAAAAAGTGATAAAACACTATCATAATTGACAATAATATACAAATAAATAACATGTCAAAATTTTAAAGAATAACTAATATAATTTTATTATCTAGCCATCAATAAAATCATTTAATGATGTGATCATTATCTTTTAAATGATAAATAATATTAATTTTTTTAAAAAAATATTAGTATTATATAATTAAATAAAGGTTAAAAAATATTACTCGACAAATCTATATATATATAATAAGAATTACCATTTATCAAAATAGCAGGTCAATTATATGGTCAAATTGCTCATCATTAATTACTTCCCATGAATAGTAACTTTTTTTACATTATTAAAAAAAAACAATTAGCATTAAATGTTGCCACAAATTATGGGTTTTAGATCATTTTAGGGTAAGGTTTCTATTTTGAATTCAAGTTGTTTGGTTCCGTGGTCAGTCAATATATACCCCCACTAAAATAGCCTAAATCTTTGAGTTATTTTTTATTTTTTAACAAGATTTGACTGTCCTTTACATGTATTGACTAAATGGGTGATCTTATATTTATTAAACCATGCAGTTTTTTTTTTTTTTTTTTTTT